GGGCATCTGCAGTGTGGCTGGGTATCAGCGGTGTGGCTGGGCATCAGCGGTGTGCCTGGGCACTGGGCATCAGCGGTGTGCCTGGGCATCAGTGGTGTGGCTGGGCATCAGCGGTGTGCCTGGGCATCAGCGGTGTGCCTGGGCACTGGGCATCAGCAGTGTGCCTGGGCATCAGTGGTGTGGCTGGGCATCAGCAGTGTGGCTGGGCATCAGTGGTGTGCCTGGGCATCTGCAGTGTGGCTGGGTATCAGCGGTGTGGCTGGGCATCAGTGGTGTGGCTGGGCATCAGCGGTGTGCCTGGGCGCTGGGCATCAGCGGTGTGGCTGGGCATCAGCGGTGTGGCTGGGTATCAGCAGTGTGACTGGGAATCTGCGGTGTGGCTGGGCTTGGCTGAGGATTCCGAGGGGTCTCAGACCTGTGCTCCAGGCAGCAAAGCCAGATGGTCCAGTTCTCAAACTCACAAGCGTCAGCGTGTGAGAGAAGTGCTGGAGGGGCTTGCTGACCTGCAGAATCCTGCCCCCAGCTCCCGGGACCCTCCCCGGGATGTGCAGTGTCTGTGCTTGTCACAGGGATTTGCAGGACCTGTCTCACAGGGCTCCAGAGGCTGTCAACTTTTCAGGAATTCTGGGAGTTGGTTGTTAAACACAGCCATCACTGAAAATTGAATTATATACTTATAAATGATATGACAAGCAAATGAACACTCCAAACATATCCCTTCCTCATTGTTTTGCTATTATCTATGTTCTTGAGGTTACCTACAGCTATTGTATCTAGATAGCCTCACGTAATATATTGATGTTTCAGTCAACGGCAGACTGTGTATATGGCAGTGCAGTAAGATTTTAATACTGCATTTCCAGTGCATCTTTTTTCTTTTTCTTTTCTTTTCTTTTCTTTTTTGAGACAAGAGTCTGACTCTGTCACCCAGGCTGGAGTGTAGTGGTGCAATCTCAGCTCATTGCAACCTCTGCCTCTCAGGTTCAAGTGATTCTCCTGCCTCAGCCTCCCGAGTAGCTGAGATTACAGGCATGCACCACCATGCGTGGCTAAAATTTTTGTATTTTTAGTAGAGATGGGGTCTCACCATGTTGGCCAGGCTGATCTTGAACTCCTGACCTCAGGTGATCCGCCCACCTCGGCCTCCCAAAGTGCTGGGATTACAGGTGTGAGCCACCACAACTGGCCTCCACTGCATCTTTTCTATGTTTAGATATGCAAATCCCTATTGTGTTACGACTGCCTGCAGTCCTCGGTATAGTAATCCGCTGTATAGGTTTGCAGCCTAGGAGCGATAGGCCATACCATACAGCCTCGGGGGGAGGAGGCTAGAGCATCTAGGTTTGTGTAAGTCCACTCTGTGACGTTTGCACAATGACAAAAATTCCCTAATGACCCATTTCTCAGCATGTGTCCCCATTGCTATAGTCACCATTATATGACTGTATTATCTCTTCCTAACTCACTGCATACTCAGTGATTCCACACTGGTAGCCTGGAATTGGCCATGGTGAGAGTATTTCCATCATGGAAATTGGCAGAGGCTGTAATCCAGGGCTACCAACCTGAGAGTCGCTGTTAAACATTTAGCAGCACACTGCAGGCAGGGGAGGGGGAACCCGAAAGTCGAGCTGGATAAGCTCCTCAGGTGGTTTCCATGCAGAAGCTCTGCTTGGAACAACACTGTACAGTATAGACTCAGAGGTCCAGGCCCAGGTACCTCTGTGCTCTGGGTGTATTAGTCCATTTTCATGCTACTGATAAAGACATACCTCAGTCTGAGCAATTTACAAAAGAAAGAGGTTTAATGGACTTACAGTTCCATGTGGCTGGGGAAGCCTCACAATCATGGCAGAAGGCAAGGAGAAGCACGTCACATCTTACGTGGATGGTAGCAGGCAAAAGGAGGGAGAGCCTGTGCAGGGAAACTCCCCCTTATAGAACCATAGGATCTCGTGAGACTTGTTAACTATCACGAGAACAGCATGGGAAAGGTCTGCCCCCATGATTCAGTACCTCCCACCAGGCCCCTCCCACAACACGTGGGAATTCAAGATGAGATCCGAGTGGGGACACAGCCAAACCATATCACTGGGAAAGGAACTGAGGTGCTGCCTTCATGGCTCTGTAAATGACCCCATGACTTGCCCCACTGTGCTTAGCCCTATTGTCTGTAAAATAGTGATGCACCTAGTATCTACCCCCATTGTATGATTATGAGGATTCAATGAGATAATCCATGTTAAAGTCTCAGAACAGTGCCTGGTATGTAGAAGGCTCTAGATAATTGTTACCTATTATTATGATCTGACAAAAGAAAGTTAATTTTGTCCAGCAGATCATCTTTTTTTCTTTTACATCGTTTTCTTTTTCTTATGAGGGTCCTGCACAGTCTTTGTAGAACATTTAGAAAATAAAAATAATCAAAACAAGGAAAAGAAAAAGCATCCATTTCTAGCACCTGGTGAATATTTTGGGGGGCCTTTAGCCTTCTAGTCTTTTTCCCGCACCTAAGAGATGTCATTCCTGATGCCCTTCTGGAAGGGGATGCTCTTGTTCGCCAACTCGTGAGGCTTCAGCAATATTTCGTCTCCCACTCCTCATGCTCAGATGCTCCAGGACAGCTGATTTTGTCACCATGATGAAAGGGTACTGGCAATGGGAATGACATCTATAGTGTTGACGTTCTATATTTACTTTATTATCATTTAGAAGGATCCTTCTAATCAATTTATTAGACAAATATTTGTTGAACACATAGTAGATACAAGGTATTGTGCTGTGGGGGTTGTGAGGGTAACAGCGTGTCTTGTCCTTAATAATAAGGTCAATAGTATTAATAACATGACTTACTATTTAGTAGGGAAAGAAATATTAAGAAAACGGGAGGCTGAGGCATGAGAATCGCTTGAACCCCGGAGGCGGAGGTTGCGGTGAGCCGAGATCTGCACTGCAGCCTGGGCAACAAGAGCAAAACTCTTATCTCCAAGAAAAAAGAAAGAAAGAAGGAAAAATCAAGAAAAAATAACCCATAGATTTTCTTTTAATCAGATAGAGGAACCCCTCATCTTCCCCTGTGTATCAGAGTGCAACCCCTCATCTTCCCCTGTGTATCAGAGTGCCGGGGCGGCCGGCGCCGGCCAGGAGGAAGGGCGGCTCTTCCTGGCAGCACTGCTGGGTGCTGCGGAGGGAGGCGGGGAAGCCTGTGATGTCCGGGCGCTCCCAGTGTTCTCCTCTCTGGATTCTGCGGCCTTCAGATTCAGCAGATAATCTTCCTGCAAGATCCCAAACCAAGCCGACTTCTTCATTTTGTGCTCAAACTGTGGACCCGGAGTAACCTGGCCCATTGCCAGAGAAGACCCCAGCGAGCTGGGCCTGGGGAGAGATGTGTATTGATCTCCAATGCTTAAGGGATTTTTAAAGGGTCATTTTGACAATGGAAGATTGGGCTTCTCCACTGACTTCAGAATCCAAAGCTTTTGCTGGACCTCTCGGGCCTCTGCCTTCGTCCTTCCTCAGTCGTCTCTTGCAGGACCCAAGGTCCACGGCTCCTGTTGCCAGCCGATGATGTGAGGCCGCTTACAGCAGCAATCTGGCTACAATTTGGCTTGAGGTGGCCTTGTCTGTGTGTTTTTTGTGCCCTATATGACGACAGAGGCTGAGCTCTCTGCTGGCAGCCGCCATGTGGGTGACCCACCTTGGAAAGGGACCCTCCAGCCCCCAGTTGAGCTGATGCTGCCTGGAGCAGAGACAAGTGGTCCCTGCTGAGTCCCAAGCTGCACATTCACGAGCAAAATACATAGAAATTGCCAGCTGGGCACAGTGGCTCATGCCTGTAATCCCAGCACTTTGGGAGGCTGAGGCAGCCGGATCACCTGAGGTCAGGAGTTCGAGACCAGCCTGGCCAATATGGTGAACTCCCGTCTCTACCAAAAATACAAAAATTAACCAGGTGTGATGGTGTGCACCTGTAATTCCAGCTACTCGGGAGGCTGAGGCAGGAGAATTTCTTTAACGAGGAAGGTGGAGGTTGCAGTGAGCTGAGATCACGCCACTGCACTCCAGCCTGGGTGACAGAGCAAGACTCCATCAAAAAAAAAAAAAAAAAAGAGTAGAAATACGATTGTTGTTTTAAGTACCTAAGTTTTGGGATGGCTTATTATGGGATGTTTATCAACCCTTGCCCCGGACCAAGCATTTCTCAGGATGTGTGACTTTCAGGGCTGAAATCCTGACAATCCTGGGCAAACTAGGATGGCGTTCACCCTAAGCTTCAGTCTTCAGTCGGCTGACTTCTCCAGCTCTGTTTCTGAGCTATGTGTGTAAACCTCCATATTTTAGATGAACAATTTCGGACAGAGACAATGTAGCCCTGCACACCCTGAACAAGGTGGTGGTAATTACGTCTGCTGGCCAATTTCACCGCACCCGCACTCTGTGAGCAACCGAAGCAGCTGACTCAGGCACTGAAATGTGGGGGTGGGAGTCCTCCCGGGGCCCCATCCGGACTACCTTCATGCTTTCTGCTCCTGCCCAAGCAGACTCCTGCCTCAGGGCTGTTGCAGCTGCGTGTCTCTGCCTGGAACACTCATATCCCAGCTCCTTTGACTTCTTTGAGTTATCTTGTTTCCTGATGGCCTCTTTGTACCAATGTGAGCCCCATAGGGACCGGGGAGGGGTCGCATCCATACTGTCCAGCACTCAGTGCCTGCTCAGCAGGAGGGGCTTACATCTTTTTTTTTTTTTTTAAACAGTCTCCCTCTGTTGCCCAGGCTGGAGGGCAGTGGCACGTCTCAGCTCACGGCAACCTCTGCCTCCCGGTTCAAGCGATTCTCCTGCCTCAGCCTCCTCAGCAGCTGGGACTACAGGCACGCGCCACCATGCCTGGCTAATTTTTGTATTTTTAGTAGAAACGGGGTTTCACTATATTGGTCAGGCTGGTCTCAAACTCCTGACCTCGTGTTCCGCCGGCCTCGGCCTCCAAAAGTGTTGGGATTACCGGCGTGAGCCACCGTGCCTGGCCCACAACGTATTTTTTAATGCTGGAAGAATAAATGAATTGAGAGGGTGCTCAGAGGTTATGCAGGTCCAATGCCCACCACAGCAGAAATCCCCTCCGTGATAACCCTGGCAGGTGATAACCTTTGGCTTAGACGCCTGTAGCAGGGAGAGCTCACTACGTCACAGAGCAGCCTGTTCCATTAGGTTTTTAAAAAGCGTTTCACTGTGATATTAAGAATCATCTCCCTATGATCTTTCACGCCTGCTCCCCAGGCCTTCATCACCCTGACTGCCTCCTGCAAGAGAGCTCAAGCTTGCCATATCCTGTGCACTGGTGATGAGGCCCAGACAAGTCTCTGGCCCTCTGGATCCGGGTGTCTCTATGTGCCCTGAAATGACTTATTTCAGGATGGTGGGCACCAATATAGCCTCAGGAATTCTGCAAATTTGTAAAAATGAAGGAAGAGTTCATCTGGTGGCATAGTTTTTTCTTTTTAAACTTAAGATGATGGGAAAAGCTGAAGAAAGTAACACCTCAAATCTAAATCTTATGCAATCTTATCCAAAATAATTTGGATACCTCGGGATCCAGGTTCTGTCTCTCCGATCTCCTATTTAGAGACACCATAAAAGACCATCTCTGGTCCTGGACTACACTCCACTGTTCAACATGACGGGCAGTGGTTCTATTTCTCCAGGTTAGAACCCATCAGGGGAGTGGCTCCACCGTTAGGAACCTGTATGTCCTGTGGGCCCATCTGATTTCATCTCCTCTGAGCAGGTGCGGGATGCCCAGGGGCCATGCAGAGAGGAGACGGTGCAGCCCTGGGAATCTGGGGCAGGTGAACTCTTGTCCTGGCCTGTGAGGCCGGCTCTGTGTTCTCTGAGGGGTCACCCTCTGCAGAAGTATGCTCTCAAGGTGTGGCCTCAGCCAAAAAAACAAACAAGATGAAGCCTCAAAGTTTAGCTCCATTGTAGCTATTGTGCTTGTACCAGAGACTTTTGTCTGGGAGCCGGCAGGAGTCTTGAAGCCTGGTGTTGCTCTGCGTAGGCTGCTGAAATGACAAGGGGACAGCTCAGCTCTGGACAAAAACACCTCCCTGGACGCTGAGACATCACACTTTACCTCCAAGTCCTTAACGAGGATGGAGAAAACCACAGAGTGAATGCTGGAACTTCCCGGGACGTTCCCTTCCTCACCCAGTACCCCCCGCCATCAGCCTCAGTCCTTTTCATTTTAATCAGTCCCATAAGCCAGCCTCTACTTTTCAAAGGATCCGAGGAACCTTCCTGCCAAGTCCCACTGAGCTCTTGCCACACTCGAAGATGTGGGCCAGGCTCTTGTGTAGGTTAAGGAAGTCTGAGAAGAATAGAGATTATAGGAAACAGTCTACCTTTCTTTACAAGGCCTTGTTTTGCATCCCTGAAATCTCAGATTCAGCTCTTACAATGAAGTCCTGTTGTAGAAAGAGCTGGCCTTTTATCACCACTTAAAATCTAATTAATCCATATTGAAGCACAAAGATTTCTGTTGTATTTTAGGGTGAGGGGTCATAGAGCCTTCTTTGTTCATCCTTAGACTTATAATCATCAGGCATTGGGGATATAATTTTACCAAATTGGAAGGTAACAGATCAAGTCCTTATCAGAAAGCCTAACTCATAGTTTTAAGAGAGTCCTTCGTCCTTTACATGAAACATTATATTCAAGAAGAACAAAAACGCATTTCAGAGTGTCCAAAGAGTTAATGACCACAGCTTATATTCCAGGCAGCATAGAACCAAGATCGTCACATTACCGTCAACCACAAAAGACAGCAGATCCTATAGGGGTGGCAAAGTCCTAAGACTTGTTGCAATGGCTTTAATCTTTAGAATAGTGATGCAATCTGTTGGACTTTTACTATCTTTCCTGGGATGGATTTTATCCATTATTACAACTTACCTGCCACACTGGAAGAACCTCAACCTGGACTTAAATGAAATGGAAAACTGGACCATGGGACTCTGGCAAACCTGCGTCACCCAAGAGGAAGTGGGGATGCAATGCAAGGACTTTGACTCCTTCCTGGCTTTGCCTGCTGAACTCAGGGTCTCCAGGATCTTAATGTTTCTATCAAACGGGCTGGGATTTCTGGGCCTGCTGGTCTCTGGGTTTGGCCTGGACTGTTTGAGAATTGGAGAGGGTCAGAGAGATCTCAAGAGGCGACTGCTGATCCTGGGAGGAGTTCTGTCCTGGGCCTCGGGAATCACAGCCCTGGTTCCTGTCTCTTGGGTTGCCCACAAGACGGTTCAGGAGTTCTGGGATGAGAACATCCCAGACTTTGTCCCCAGGTGGGAGTTTGGGGAGGCCCTCTTTCTGGGCTGGTTTGCTGGACTTTCTCTTCTACTGGGAGGGTGTCTGCTCAACTGTGCAGCCTGTTCCAGCCACGCTCTCCTAGCTTCGGGCCACTATGCGGTGGCGCAAATACAAACTCAGTGTCCCTACCTGGAAGACGGGACGGCAGATCCTCAAGTGTAAGACTCCGACGAGGCCAGAGATGTATCCTATATCAACCGTGATGACAAAGATCTCTTTGTTTTGTAGCTAAATCTGTGATGCTCACGTTTTCTCATTCAGTAACTATTTCTCTACAGTAGGCAGACCCACTTCCCTCTAAAATCTAGAGAATAATGAAGGAAAAATATTTCATCTAAAAGAAAATGACTATGGTAAGCATTATATAGGTAGAAGTGAAACAAGCTTCACTGATCTGGTTATTGAAAGAATGTGGTGGCTGTCCAGTATAGTCAGTTTCAAGCTTTAATGTGTAAATTTCGTATTAGAAAGCTTTTTTTCTTTTCTTTTCTTTTTTTTTTTTTTTTGTTGTTGGTAGTTAGAAATGATCATTAGTTTCTGTTTCCTAAAGAAAAAAACTAACGATCTGAAAATTTTAAGTGTTCTACTTTAGCAAAGCCACATGCTAAGCCAACCCCAAAGTGTTATTTCCACAGCAACGACTTTTTTCTTCTTTGAACAGAAGTGGTTTGTGTTTAGGGTATTACCAGGCACTCAGTGCGACAAGATTTTATGAGGCTGAAGAGTTTTCAGTACCTCGTGATACTCTCAGATTTAAAATACTGGCCAATCTCTTCTCTCGTCCTTTCCCTCGAAACCTTCGTATTAAAAAAAGAAAAACAATTCCAAAGACATTTTTCTTAACATCCAGATATTGTCAGGTCATTTGAATAAAAACTTTCCTTTGTTCAATGAAAAATCACTAACATGGGGATATATACTTTAGTGGTGAATAAACAGAAATGCTGACTCCAACCTGCAGAGTCCTAATGCTGAACTCTTTCCTCGACTTAGAAAGTATATATAGGAAAAAAGTGTTTATGCACACAAGCGTAAATTTGACAGAAAGGCATGCAGTTAAATAAACTAGATATGTAGTTTGGTATTGCTTCAAATGCCGTGTGGTGTATGTAGCCTGAGGAATTTTTGAAACACAGGCCCGAGTTAAGGTGTAGAGATATTTCTGATAAGATTGATTTATTTGGTTAAGAAATACTTTTCTTGAACCTATTTTTTAAAAGTAACACTCAGTGTTACCATAACATGCACATTTGAAATGTGAGAACTATAAGAGATGAAAATCTGACAGGTGCAATTAGTGAGATACAAAGCAGGAGGTGTTGAACCAAAACCATCAGTTAAACATTTTGCATTCAGACTTAATTCTTTGTTAGAAAGGTTGGGAATAACATGAAAGCCATTTTAACCTTAACAACGAAAGGAGGATTATTATCACTTAATTATATTTCAGTGACAAACTGCTTTCTGCAAAATCCAGCCCACAGGACACAAACACGATCTTGCCACACCTTGGCATTACTGGTTTGCAGCATTATTTCCCTATCCTTTTCTGAAACCCATTCAACATGGACTCAAACAATAGCAACTCTGGCAAGAATCCTCCTATATACACAATGAAGAAATATTTCTGAGCTTCATAAGTTATAACACAAGTGTCACACTTCTTTTCACAGCAGCCGAAGGACAGGAGTTTGTTTGGTTAAAGCTCTCAGGACATTATAATGGCTTTAGTATTTAGAACTGTGGCTCAACTAGCTGGAGTTTCATTATCTTTGCTGGGATGGGTTTTATCCTGTCTTACAAACTACCTGCCACACTGGAAGAACCTCAACCTGGACTTAAATGAAATGGAAAACTGGACCATGGGACTCTGGCAAACCTGCGTCACCCAAGAGGAAGTGGGGATGCAATGCAAGGACTTTGACTCCTTCCTGGCTTTGCCTGCTGAACTCAGGGTCTCCAGGATCTTAATGTTTCTATCAAACGGGCTGGGATTTCTGGGCCTGCTGGTCTCTGGGTTTGGCCTGGACTGTTTGAGAATTGGAGAGGGTCAGAGAGATCTCAAGAGGCGACTGCTGATCCTGGGAGGAGTTCTGTCCTGGGCCTCGGGAATCACAGCCCTGGTTCCTGTCTCTTGGGTTGCCCACAAGACGGTTCAGGAGTTCTGGGATGAGAACGTCCCAGACTTTGTCCCCAGGTGGGAGTTTGGGGAGGCCCTCTTTCTGGGCTGGTTTGCTGGACTTTCTCTTCTACTGGGAGGGTGTCTGCTCAACTGTGCAGCCTGTTCCAGCCACGCTCTCCTAGCTTCGGGCCACCATGCAGTGGCGCAAATGCAAGATCATCATCAACTGGAGACAAGAAACACCAACCTGAGAAACTAAGCCAGAAAGGACAAGCGTCTGCTGTTCAGGAGACGCCTGCTCAACACTGGATTTGGTAGGAGGTCCCGCTCTAGTCATCTCACTGTGCTTCTGATTTTCGAAAATGCATTTTTTCCTGTGGCTGTTAAACTATAGTTTCTTTCCAAGACTGGTAAACTATTTTTATCTTCTACTCTGAGATCAAAACCAATCAAGACTTCATAGTAATGACACCCATTACTGTGGATGAGTGTTCTCAATTTTAGAACAATGATTGCATAGAAGTGGTAAATAAAACGTTAATCTGTATGTGTCTTTGAAGGTGTTATTCAAATGGAGCGGAATCATCTGGCAGATCACTGACTTCTTTCAGGTGTTTAAGATAACCTAGTATAATAAGCCTGAGCTGCATACTTATTTAAAATGCATGACGTCTTATTATATAAAAGAATGATGAGCTCTTTAAAAGCTTTAGAGGTGAAAGGCGTAGACACATCATCTCCTCCATCAGAGACCTGTGTCTCTATGGAACCTTTTCTCAAAAGGCAGCCACATTCAGTCATGCCTTCTAAACGATGTCAGAAGCAGGAGCGTGATCTTGTGTTTTGGATGATTCAAGTAGGCTCTGGCACACAAACGTGCTTCTGCATCCTGTGCTCTGTATTTCGTCGGGAGCGTTTCTGGCTTCCCTGGCACTGAGCAGTCTGTGGGGGGCAGGGCAGGGCAGGGCAGGACTGGTGTGTGTGTAGGGACCTCCTGGGATGGCTGCCTCTCCGTGGAGCACGCTGCCAGCCCAGGCGGAACGACCACAGAGCACACACTCTGGAGCCCTTCATTTTATTTGCACAATGAAAAGACTTCGTCCTTTCTTATCAGCAATACATATAGTTCCAACAAGAACTATTCATCACAAACTGCTGGCTTGGGGATTTCTTCGTGAAATATTTTGTATTTGCTTGGTACATGGTTCCAGGAAACTCGTGTGTTTGTGCCAATCAGGGAAATAAACTGAACAATAAACGACACTGAAATAGACTATTAGGCAATATGTAGCTTTGTTTTTTGTTTTTGTTTTTTTAAAAACCGACTGAATTTTTTTCCACCCACAAACACATGGAAAGTGCAGAAACCAAAGTTAATCTATGTGATGTATTTGCATACGTTTACAAACAAGACAAATTAAAACAGAAACATGTTCAGAATTTAACCCGATTAAATATTAAGTTCAGTCCTGAGCTTTTGATATTTAATACAATATAGATAAGCAAAAAATTTTAATTTATTTGATTTGCATGCTACAGAGATTTAGCTAAACTTTGTTCATTTGGCTAGCAATATCCTTTTTGTACCTGTAACACTTAAGATTCTGATATACAAAATTGTAATAATATAATGATAATTCAAACTTGAGAACTAAATATTACATTCTTTTTACCCTGTGCGAATAAATTCTACCTTTTAAAAATAGTATTTATAATATTAAAATTCGTATTTGTCCATATGGTTTTGTGATCAAGTTATTAAAATGTTTTGTCACTGTGAATCATTTGGGTTAGTACAAATATGACAAGATTATTAAAAGCTGCCTATAAATACATAACACTATTGCTGACTTTTAAAGTGTAGAAAAAGGATTATATTAAAATAAGTTCATCTCTCATGTTAGAAATGAGGAAATTTTGTGAAATACAACAACCAAAAGCATCTTGGTCACAACTGCTAACTACCAGCCTGAGACAGATTTTATTCTTTAATACTTGTCTGAAACTTTTTGTATTACAAAAAGTCCACAGCTAATCTGATGAAAGACTTATAAAGCTGTAAATATTCCAATATAGTCTCTTCTGTGTCAAATATTTAAAATGGCCAGAATCAAACTATATATTAAACAGAACATAAATAAGACTGTAAATAAATAAATGAAGAAAATAAAATCGTACAGAACAGCTACACATAATTCTATAGACATCTTCATGGTCAAACTAAGACGCTGAAAACAGCCCACCTTCATTTACCTCCACGTTAAATAAACTTCTGTCTTTCACACTGGACCTCGACAAGGGTGAACTGTATTCTTTTTCTAGTTTTCCTTAGTCATCTAAGAGAATGAACTGGGCAGTCTTAAAGGACTGTACTCAGTCAATTCACTAGGCTGGTTTTTGTTCAAAGTAGTGTCTGCCATGTCCAGTTATGTCTTCAGAGAAATTTGTATGTTAAGTGGTGGGACATTTAGGAAAAAATAAAGTTCTAGGCTCAGAAGTTGCTTAATTTGAACTTCGATTCCAATAACATGAACTTTCCAAAATATATACAATTGCTTTCAGGAAAGTAAAAATTCTTGCTAGTGAGCATTCTAACTTAGGAACACAACTTTTTTGTTCTTTAAGGGGTTCCTTTAAGACAATTTTGGATTTCTTTAAAAAAAATCTATTTTATTTGCCATATTAGATGGCTAACCCCAAATTGTTTCTGAGTAATAAGTATGGTTTAAATGGTCTAAATATTATATATTTTAAAAGCTTGATGCTGGCAGAGCTGCACTGAGGATATGTGTTTTAAGACGTGCCTGGGTTGGGTAAGGTGAAATTCTAAACTGGAGGACGCATTAGTCAGTTTCTCTCTCTAAACTTGTTCATCCAAAAGTCATTTCATAAACAATTTAGCTTGTACTTCAAATTAATAATCCCCCCAGGCACATTCTTCCCTTTGCCTCCGAACTATTTACCATAAATTATAGATAGAATCCCCTAAAAATGAGAGCTATGAGGCAATTTCTACTAAATGTTAGAAATCTCTTGATAAACTCATTTGTTTTTGGCAACTTTCATTCTATCAAGACATCTTTTCCCCTCTTCTTGGTTATACCAAATGGGTGCCGATGCGTTTCTCTCCACACCTCCAGCTTTCTCTGTCCTTAGAACACAGGGCCACCACTTGGCACCATCCTTAGATTTAGGGCAAAACACTGGTGCAAGCCAGAAACTCATGTTTGAACACTTCTGCAAATTCAGGCTGAGTGAGAGAAACCAGCTGCTCATTTGATGAGCTTATTTGTATCTCTACATGGCTGATGTTCTTTCTTCTCCTTGCCCTCAGTGTCATGAATCCCAAGATCTTCAGTGTAGCCAAGAGCAGTGCTCCTTTGTATTCTTATTCTTAAGATAACTTGGTAGTTTATATTTTTGTTTTCTTTAGAAAAATATAAAAGGACAAAAAGGAAATCGTTTTAAGGAAACCAGGTGTTGCCGCACAGGTGATGGCCATGAACGCAGCATCCATTTTGGGTGGACTTTGGAACGCCGCACCCCAGTGACTGCTCACACTCTCCTCGCCAGCGCACAGATACCACGTGGCGGTGCTGCCATCGGCACGGCCTACTCACAGAAACACAAAGGAGAAGCAAGACCACCTGCTGAACCAGGTTGTCTCTCAACAGTCGGCTCAACAGTACACACGTGGGGTAGTGCTGCCTCCATTCCGTGTTTACAAAACAAAGCCCACTGGCAATGCGCACATTCTGGGCAACATTTGTGTACCAGATTATCCCATTTTTCTTATCTGATTTTTTCTTGTTTAAGCACATAAAAATTACACTCAAGATACTTTACAAATTAAAATGTTGAAAATCTGATGTGAAATAAAAGTTCTTCAAGAGTTGACAGTTATGTTACCAAAAACAACCAAACACCAAAACAAAAAAACAAATCTTCAGTCTTTTACCCTCCCTAAAAAAGTGAACAGATGACAAAATAATTTCTTAAACCATGTAATCACACATCGTCAGCCGGCAGGGACGGGATGCTTATCTTTGCTCTGGTGAAGTAGGCAATCTTCTCCCTAGAGTTGGGGTGAGAAATAAATTGACTTAAATATGACGCTAAAAATACTCTGGGACCATTAAAACAGTCCCCAGGACCTGCAGCGGCAGTGATGTCTCTACAGGCACAGGCAGAAGCTCTTTTCCTTAAGCAGAACTCCATCCATTTACAATCAAGAGAGTCTCTGCCTGCTAAAGGGAGGGTATCAAGGAGAACAGCAGCTCTGGCTCACAGAAGTCACCTATAGACCAAGCCAGTAAGCTCCCTTCAGGGAACTTCCAACAGAAGACAGTTTTAAGCTAGTAGGGGTCTGGTCTAGGATGGGTGCTTCCAAACTAGGCAGTGGAAGACTCAAAAGGCCCAAAATCCTAAGTGGAAACTTCTCAGTAACCTCACAGAAAAGTACATAATACCAGGAAAAGTCTTTAAAATCGATACTGTGCTGAGGCAGGGACAACCTCATGAGTGACACCACGACTCAAATGAAAGGAGAAGGAGGAACTCACTATCTGAAAGGCAGTAACTGCCCTGGTCCCGAAGCAGCAGAGAGGCTGAGACAGGGCAGAGTGGTTTTCAGGTGAGGAGAGTACTTAAAAAAAAAAAGACAAACAGTACGTCTATTTTCCTACAGAACTTCACACTGTACATTTATGCCGTCAGCGCGTATTTCTTGAGGGCATACGACATGCAAGGGGCACACTGGTAGCTGAAGAATCAAGCACTGGCCCTCCTTTGTGAAAGAACAGTCCAGATGGGGGAGGAGGCGCAGGCTAGAAACCAGAGCCGAGGTGAGGATGTTCTGAGGACTAAGGAAGGACAGAGGAGAAGAGGAGGAGTGGAAACACTGGACACTGGAGCGAGCTACTGCTGCGAGCAGCGTCCTTTACATTTGTTCACTTCCATAAGAGGAAAATGAGAACGAAAATCGCCCCGAGTGTGGGCGTGATGTCAGCAGAGGCCGTAAGGCGCAGCTGGTAACTGGGGTGTTTAAAAATACCCGCACTAGTTGCCAGTGCCTGCATTTGAGATATTTCACGTAGAATTGTTGATTTCTAACTTCTCTTGAAAAATTAGAAGGCCAGGGACCATCAGGCTCCTGATTCCAGGTGAAATAAGCAGCTGGGATGGTGCTGGGCAGAACGCCCCAGGCCCCACCGCTGCCCATCTCACCACCCCAGGCCAGGCACCGGCAGCCGCACAAATCCCACGCTTCCAGCGCGGCCTGTCTCACCCTGTCCATCTCATCATTCTCATCACTTGCCTGGTGATATAATGGCTTCGTATCTTAAGGGAAGCTGGGAATGTTCACGGATTCTTTGCTTCGAGCTTCAGCAACAACTGCTAGTTGTGTGACTTTCCATGCCGGGCAATGCTGCTTACTCTCTAAGTGACCACAGCAACAAGGGCATGGATGGACTCCCCTCACCTGCAGTTCTAAAACCCAAGGAGTGGCACTCCCTGAAAGTCACAAATGTGATTATTTAGCAGAAAAGAGGGCGGAAAAACCTCTCCACTGCAAGATGCTGCATAAAAATGAAGGAGCTGTGAGCCCACTAAGGCCCACTGCTGCTGCCACATGGTGCGTGGCCCTGCCCTCCCGCCTGGCACTAGACAGCGTGCCAAAGCGGTCCCTGCTCCACCACGTGACCTAGCTTCCCCACACTTCAAAAACACTCGCTTCTTCCAGGCTTCTCCCCTTTACACCTAAACGCTTTCCAAAGACTCGTCTATACAAAACCTCAACCAAAACCCAATAAAAACCCAGTAGGAGCAAACCTTTCTGCTGAGCTCCCTCCGACGGGGCTGAAAACATCTGCTGTGCTCACCAGGGATCCCGGGTGCGCTTTGCAGTTCTCTCCATCAATCTCCTCTCCCCATCCTCCAGCCCCAGGCTCCTGGTTCTCCTCTGACCTCTCCAGCCATTCCCTCTAGTATCTCTTTTGGGGTGAGCCCTTCAGTGACTGGTACCCACCAGGCCTCCTTTCCCAGTCACCTCACATTTTCTGGGATGTCTGGTCCGTTTCCACTGATGAGACCAGTGCATTGAAGATGAGCACTCCCATTTTTTAATCTCCATCGTGACCCCAACCCTGGCTTTAGATTTTTATTTTCACTTGTCTGCTGGTCATGGTTACCTTGCTGGCCTGCTGGCATTGCCTGGTGTGCCAGGGCAGAGGTCAGCATCCTCCCCACACCCCTGCTCCCCAGCGTTCTCCATCTCAAACGCTGGCACCATAGGACAGCCACTGCCCCCCATGAACCTCCCATGAACCTCACAGGCCACCCTTACCCGTTTCTCCCCAGCCCACTCTCCACAATGCCTGATATCTGCCCCACATAGAACCCATTCCCATCATTTGGTTTTGTGCATGGAGAGCCCTGCTGGCTGCCCCATCAGAAACCGCGAGTGGAAGCCTCTTCTGCACAGCTTCCGAGGCCTGTGCAGTCTGAGCCCAGTTCTCCCAGACAGGCTCACCAGCTGGCAACTCCCCATGCGCCAGAGCTTGGCACTGACTTCTAAGGTCTGTGCCTCTGTCCGTGCTGTTCTTCCTGCCTCAATGTCCCACTCAAAACTGCCACCCCTAGGTGCCTAAGGAGCTTGCAGCCATCCTTCCATGATGGAGATTATCCTTCCTCTTATTATCCTTCCTCTTATAATCTCCTCCGCTGGTGCCCGCAGCCCCAGCACCTGCCCCATACGGATTGAGGCTCCTCCCACATCTCTCACAGGTCCCTACCCATACCTTTAGTGAGCTCTTTCCACACGCACTGCAATGACCTGGTTACCTGCCTGTCCCCACTACAGCCTAGAGCCCCCGAGAAGAGCAGAACACACATGTTCTTAGCCTCCGCATCTCAGGGCCTGACAAGGTGCAAGGTTTCTGGGGCTGCCCAAGGAATGTCTGTGAAATGAGTGAACAAAACCCCAGAGATGTCTGAGTTTTCTGTACCTTTGTATCCTGGGTCGGAATAGTCCAGTGAGATGTGCTAACAGCTACTAAGAGCTGGGGACACCCTGGGTTCTTGAGGGGAGTTAGGCTCTCATCAGCCTTTAACTCTGCCAGTCACATTTATCACCTCAAGTGCAAATGGGAAATTACATATTCAAGGCAGGGAACACAGGATTTCTGTCTCAGATCCTAGTATTAACTTTCACTGCACTGAGGTGAATTCCTACACAATCAGACCACATGAAGGCAACCCAAAAGCTGTCCTGGATGGGGCTATTCACCTGAAGGACTGCACCTGCCGAGGCACCTTCTGGCTCTGCTCCCGGAGCCGACACACGTCCTTGGAGACTTGCCTCATCAACTTCTCTGCATTCAAACCTTGCTTCTGCTCTTCTTTGGACTGTTCGGCCTGGAAAAGGGAATAAAAATGTAAGAAAAACACAAAACACTGATTAGAAATCCCTGGAGACAACCTATGAGGCTTGAAAGATTGTGACTAAAGTCAGGAGGGCAAGCAAGACAGTCAGTGGGCTGGTGTCCTTTACATCACGCGTCAGGGGCCAACACCCACGTGACCAGCTCATGCTGAGTGGGAGCATATGTGGATTTTGGGGTAAGTTCATTTCAATCACATTTTAGAAATCAAATTACACAGGTAATATGTGACAATTTTATTACATCTGAAAAACCTAAGAACTCTTAAAAATGAAACAGAAAATTACTCATAGCACGTTTTCCAAAAAATACCTACAGTTAAAGAATGTTTTGGGCAAATACACTTTCAACATCTTATTTATCTTTTTGACCCTTTTTTCTAACTTAGCCATTTAAAAAGCTGTTTATTAAAGTAGAATTTACCAATCAAAAAATGTGCACATATACGTGTATAGCTCAAATAACTTTTACAAATTGAACACACCCATGTCACCAGCACCGGATGAAGGAGAGGACACTCCTGTTTCCAAGAAGCCCCCCTTGGTGCCCTTCCAGCTCTGCCCAGGGTTCCCAGCATTCCGACTTCTAACGTGCCTCTTCTGTCCTTGGTATAGAGGAACAGTAAACAGATACTCTTCAGGGTCTGGCTTCTTTTGCTCAACATTATGCTCACGAGAATCATACACACTGTTATCTGTAGTTGTAACTCACTTTCCCCACAGCTGTATAATACTCCACTGTATGACTTTACTACAATGTATAATCTGTTAGTAATAATGAACATTTGGGTACTGTGCATGAACATGTTTTAAAATAAAAATGTACTAATGATATTATATTAAAAGTTGCCTTTTCATTTCATTCTTTCACTCATATTCATTCACTCATTCATTCACCCAGTCAACAAATATTTGTGGACTGCCTTTTAAGGAAAGGTGGTGTAAGTGGGTGAAGAGCAAACACTCAGATATATGGCTTGGGGTCAAATTTCATTTCTACCACTTACTAGCGATGTAAATCTGGGCAAGTTGCTTGACCTCCTGGTGTCTTAGTTTTTCCATTTGTAAACTGGGAATAAGTACTTACTTCAAAGTTGTGAAGTTTAAATGAGTACATACACATGTAAAGTACTTAGAGCAGTACCCAACACATCACTGAATATACTATTTCAGAATGAAGCTATTACTGCTTTTTTTTTTTTTTTTTTTAAAACAATATGCCAGGTTCTGTACTAGGTGGCAGGGTTATAGCTGTGAACAAAACAGGTGAAGTCCAGGCTGGGAGGCCAAGGTGGGAAGATTGCTTAAGGCCAGGAGTTTGAGACCAGCCTGGACAACATAGGGCTCTACGAAAAAAAAAAAAATTAGCTAGGCGCGATAGCATGTGCCTGTGGTCCCAACTACTCAAGAGCCTGAGGTGAAAGGATCACTTGAGCCTGGGAGTTTGAGGCTGCAGTGAGCTATGATCACCCCACTGCACTACAGCCTTCATGACAGAGCAAGACCCTGTTTCAAAAACCACAACAAACA